TCTAATGACGCTGATCGAGCGCACCATCCTCCAGCCGTCTTGACCTGGCTGTTCTTTCAGTTTATTTCTTCTCATATCTCTGCTTTTCATACAATAACAGGGAGACGGTCAATTCAATCGTCGGCTAATGAGGTCACGCCGCTCACGCGGCGAGAATCGTCGCGTGCGGCAGTTGCTGCGGCGATTTCTGTGTGGACCTTTTCTTATCCATCCATGTCCATAAGTTGGCTAGGTGACTGATAACACCAGAGTGCTGGACATCAATAGCCAGCAAGCGTCACTGTAAGATCCCTGCAGTGATTTAGGCCTCACAGTACAAAGGTTGTACCGTGTAAAGGTTGTCCTTTTGAATTTAATTTGACTTCTTTATTAATCAGCTTCCTGAATTTCTATCAGAGAGTGATAATCTGGTTCAATCGGAAAGAATATTGCGTATCAAGACACAGAGTAACGGTGAGGAAGGCTCTAACATAAGCATGATATGATAAGTATGTAATAATGGCGAGCGAAAACGAAACTGCATTTTAAAGGGTAAGGTGGTTCCTATTTCATGTTTCATGACTGGAAACTTCATCTAATCTTACATTCCCCAATGTTTGGATGCTGAGTTCTTTGCAAATTCGCCGCGATATTGCTGGCTGCGGCGGCTGGCGCGGCGACCTACTTACTGCCACGATTGAATAGTCACGCACCCTCCTCACAGGCTCCCTCATGAAATCTTCTGGGCGAGCTTTTCCTCATTTTGAACTATCAGTTCCTGAGCAAATATAATGTTACTGTATAGACCAAATCGCTTTCAAGTGTCACACGAATGTATTAGGTCGCAACGAAAGTCCTGGCGGCATTTCTTCAAAGTCCTGACAAACGGCTGCGCATTAACCTGGAGGGGAAATTTTTTAACCATATACAGGAATGGTAACATCCCTTCATATTTCCGAGTCTCACCTCCTGCAGGCCTTTTGGAGCCTGGAAAATGCCATAAGTTTCTACCCATGTACGCCACTGACTTCTTTGCGAATTTTGTATGGGACACACAGCGAGCGAAGCCTGCCGCAAAATATGCTCTGTGGAAGTAGGGGGAGTGGTAAGTGAAAAAACCTGCCAACTTTGGTTCAGAAGGCTCCGCGAAGGAAACTACAACCTCGAAGATGGACGCCCAACGAAAGTTAATTTCGAACGTTTGGAGCTGTTACTTCAAGACTTTCCGCATGCAAGCGCCATGGAGCTGGCAAAGGAGATGCACTGCTTCAACATGGCCACAGGTCGTGTTCATCACATGCTGGAAAAAGTTGAGAAACTTGGTCGATTGATCCCTCATGAGCTGACAGAGCATTGCAAGAAAAGAGGTATCGGGTGTGCGGAGGTTTTCTTGCAAGGAGTCGCCGTTTCGACTGGTTGGATAATGTAATTACTGGAGATGAAAGGTGGGGGCTCTACCTATGTCATACCAGAAGAAGACAGTGAATGGGTGCGAACCAGAAGCCAGAGCCTGTTCCAAAGCAGGAGGTTCATCCCAAGAAAGTTCCTCTGTCAGTTTGGTGGAGAGTTCGGGGAACACGTCATTACGAGATGCCAGACAATACCATCGTCGACGCCGAGGTGTACTGCTCACAACCACGAAGGCTCGCAGTTGAAGTTCGCGAAACTTCGCCTGAGATAATGGGCACACGCGTTTGGGCGATTTTTCGATGACACGCGGTTGACCAGTGTTGATAGATGGGCTAACCCAGAAACATAGAATATTAAGGGGATGCATGACACGAGGTTTACTTCCTCTAATCATTTCGCCAGGTCTTGCGCCTACGGATTACCACCCACTCCTTTCCCTGGCTCACTTCTCAAAGGATAAAAACTACGACAACTTTCAATAGCTGAAAGCGGACATGGGCACTTCTTCGACTCGAAGCCTGCCGAATTTTGAAGGAGAGGCATTTGTTTCCTTGTCGACCGATGGCGGACTGGTGTAAGTGCTTGTGGGAATTATTATTAGGAATAAAGTTCAATTCAAAGAAAGATACGAGTTTTTGAAATTGAGGGTCGAATCCGCCATTACTTTCGTTGCGACCTAATACATAAACAACGGTTTACGACGTTTCCTACAATTCCGCACCAGAGTCAACCGTGCGTTGCGCAGTTCGCAACGGCACGTTGAGAGATCCTCAACGCACGCTGTATGGGCGGAGACACAGACGGCTCGAGCATGCGAGTGTGAATGTTCGCGCGAGAGAACGTGTCTAATCGGGCGAAACTGCGCAACGCAGGGTTGACTCTGGAATGGTCCCCGATCTTAACGGT